GCCCGCTTGCAACTATGAGAAATTAGCAATTTTAGGATTTCTTGCCATTTTTAAGCGGAAAAACTTAAGAAAAAAATCTCAGAGTCTTTTTTTCGGTCGTTTTAGATCCCAAAAACGACTTTTAGATTTTAAAAAATTGAATTTTTCAGTGCACGCTCTCCCACAGAACAATTCCGAACTGCAAATTAATTTTTGATCTACAGCAAAAAAGATTGGCGCGATCACAATTGCAGGTCTAAAACCATAATTTCAGAATTTTTTATCTGATTTTGTGGAGTTCCAAGATGATTCAAATGATTCTTTAAAAAATTAATTAGTGGTTATAGATTCATGTATGGTCCTTTTCCGGAAGAAAAAATGTCAAAAATGGTCATTTTTGAAAGTTTTTTACAGAAAAAATCTATCTCCTCTTTCAGTTTCTGACATTTCTAGGAGTTATATATCTCAAAAAACCGCATAAAACTTTTTTTTATAATCAAAAAACAACGCAAAAATGCGATTTTGTGCAATTTCATGAGGTATTTTGATTATAAAAAAGTCTTATCAGACGAATTAAAAATTCATCCATAGAAAATGTAGAGAAAATAATTGCGGTTTTTTGAGATATATAACTCCTAGAAATGTCAGAAACTGAAAGAGGAGATAGATTTTTTCTGTAAAAAACTTTCAAAAATGACCATTTTTGACATTTTTTCTTCCGGAAAAGGACCATACACGAATCTATAACCACTAATTAATTTTTTAAAGAATCATTTGAATCATCTTGGAACTCCACAAAATCAGATAAAAAATTCTGAAATTATGGTTTTTGACCTGCAATTGTGATCGCGCCAAACTTTTTTGCTGTAGATCAAAAATTAATTTGCAGTTCGGAATTGTTCTGTGGGAGAGCGTGCAGTGTCGATTATTCAATTGTTATCTGAAGACCAGAAAAGAGAATTTCGGCATTTTGAGATGAAAATTATAGATATTGTAGCAGAAAATTGAAAATTCTTAAAAATTTTTATATTCTGGAAATCTAGAATTTTTAAAGTTTTCGAAATTTTCAAATTCTCCGAATTTTCCAATTTTTCGGAAAATTTGGATTTTCAAGTTTTCGAAATTCCCATTTTTCGAGTTTTCGGAATTCCTGTATTTCAGAATATTCCCTATTTTAAGATTTTCTGACGAATCTGGAATCAACGCGATTTTCTGATTTTCTTGTTTTCCTAGAATTTTGAACCCCAAAAATCCAAACGAGAAAAAATGAAAAAATTCCAGAAAAACTTAAAAAAACGGTGAAAAATTAACGATTTTTGTGCGATTTTTCAGAAGGAAAAATTTAATTTTTCTTCGATTTTTTGCCAAATTTTTCAGAACTTTTTAAAGGTTTTTCATGCTATTTTTGTCTGAAATTTGATGGAACGGGGTTCTGGGTTATTG